TCACGCTTTTCTTCTTGTTTCTGAGTCTTTTGCATACCCATTTCTATATTGTAGTTGTAAGCTTTCTGTAGCTATTTAGATACCTAGTTTTATGTCGAGGATGCTGGCCTTCTGCGCTTGATTGAGTGCTAGATTGTATATTGAAGTGCTTACCCTTTGCGCCTATTTGGTTGCCTTTTAAAATTCTGAAATTGTGTAAAAAAAGAGGCGACGGGTGACGCAGTATATTTTCTTATAATGATAATCAGCCGATCTGCTGTAACGATCTTGGAACGCAAATATCTCGACATATACCAGCCCAATTTTGATGAGGATTGAACTACTGGATTCAGTAGGATCTGATCTATCCAACAAGCCTAAATTCGTATAAATCCGATCAGTGGATGTCGAGATATTATCCTCCAAATATCGGGTAAAAAAAATATACTCTAAATTATGTTTTAGCCAATCGGATCGCCCGAATATAACTGCGTGATCATGTGACACCGTGTGGACTTCCGTTGGATGTCATATGATACTGAGCCCTAAGGCCAACATTCTATTGCATCGGGTATATATGCCAAATTTTTTGCCCTAGAAAATTTAGTAAAATTTTACTGGACCATTTCCTAAGGCAGAGTTTGTTATAGGAGAAAGTGTTCTTTTTTCGATTCAACTTGTTCTTGTATTATCTTCCCTAGGTTCCTTAGGTGTCCTAGTAAAAAATAAAGTTCTAGGAAAAAAAAAATCGAATTTTTCTATGCTATCTTTTGGTATATATATTGGTATGCTATATATATGTTATATATATGCTATATTTTTGCTATACCCTTAAAAAATAAAAATAAAAAGTAAAGCAGTCCGATTTTTCCTGTGATGCCTATGACACCTGTGACACTCTCTAAGAAACCTTTCTTTCAGCCTAGAATTCCTAAAGAGCCTATTGTCTGCGTCATAGGTTCTGTCACAAGCTTTTTTTTCCTGTGACACTATTGTCAAGTTGTATTATTTTGCATCGCTTCTATTTTCATCTATTTACCTATCACTTCCTATATTGAAGTCAAATCAGCCAGCTTTTTTTGATGGTATTGTTCCCTTTTACGATGCTTTCTAGCATGAATATTGCAAAATCCATATCCGCCATAAGTTAATTTATTACATCCATATTCATTGCAAGATACCTGAGAAGGAGAATTACGATGAATATGGCATCCTTTCAGATGGTAGTACCCCCGATTGCAAATCTCACCACTCCTGTGAATATAAGTACATTGATAAAATACCATTTTTAATAACTATGAATAGTTGGTTTATGTATCGGTTTATATATTTCGGAATTAATTTTCATTTTAAACTTTTTTCTCCTGAAATATATACTTTCTCTCGAACTGTATATTTGTGATATAAAATCATGACCCAATCAGAGTTCCTCAACACCCCGCCCCTTACAAACAAGGTTTTAAAGCTGAAGATATCAGTAAATGCTTATATAAAATTCGTGATGATAGTGTTAGATCAAGACATTTCCTTGGTGCAGACAATGCAGATGAAATAGAAGCCATACTCTCAGATCGTGAGGGTTATTCCTTACACGAAATTATTGATGGGGATGAGCTACTCTGGCCTATTATAGATTTTAACTTGTCAGTAGAAACATTAAATGCTATATCTCCCAAGCTTTCAGTCAAACAGTTGAAAAATTTATTATGTTGCGCTTTTAGAGATACTTGTCTAGAAATTTTCCCAAAATGGGATAAAGAAACTATGTTTATTGCCGAAAGTAGTGATGAGAAAAAAATATCTCTACATGTCTTAACTTTTGGTATGAGACTTTCAAGTATCGCTAAGGCTTCAATTTTTACCGAACTTGTTCGTAAAAAACTTCCAATAGGATTGCAGAAAAAAGGTATTATCAATAACATTGCAAATAGAGATCCTTTCAAATCTTTATCTTTGCGAATGATTTGGTCACCCAAATACAATGAAAAAATAGATGAACACGTTTGTGTGAAAAAACCTATTCGTCCAAAAGATAGAACTATCTTTGAATTCATGATTCATTCGCCCAATGATGATTCTAAAGTCATTGATGGTCCTCTATTGGCTATTTCAGAACCAGAAGTTAAAAGATATCTGACTAAAGAAAATGAAAATAATGATATAAGTAGTGAAACCACTCAAGCTGAATTCGAATTTGTGGAATCATTACTTGGAAAAAATGGCATAGAAGGATATAGTCTTTCATATCTATCTGAAGTCTTTCCTAACAAATTTCCATTATTACGCAACTCTCCATCACACTGCTCATTATGTGATCGGAAGCATACTAGTGATAATGTATATATTATACAAAATAAAAAATCATATAGCTTTAAATGTTATCACGCAAATCTTGAATGAAATCCTGGAACAATAAATCCCTCAATAAAGCTCACTATTAGCGAAACTGCCTTGGATCGAGAACAAAAGCTTCTAAGTCCAGTAAAAATAGATCGATTTAGAATATCAGATTCTAATAATCATTTTGTATAGGATGACCTATTGCGTATGTGTACTTCAGGTAAAAAATTCTCTTGTGTTGAAGTTTATGAAGCGATTCAAGCATCAGTTGCCTGTATCCAGAAAACTTTGCAGACCTGGATACTCAAGCTCAAAAATCCAGAAAATGGCCTTCATTTCGATATGGCATCCAAACTAGATCTTGCCAAATTTGGGATCAATATAATCGAACATAGAGGGGAATCGGTAAAGTTAAAATCATTAATAAGTCAAGCAGTTATCAAAGGTATAATACTTTATGATGATGTTAACTTTCTCCTATATTCCTTGAAATGTTCACGTCCAACTACTAAGTACTTTAATCTTTTCCTAGGATTTCTAGTAAAACCGATAGATAAGATTAATTCTGAAATTATGGATCCTATTCTCTGGCATATGAAGAATATAATTAGTAATGAAAATGTAAAGCTTCATGAATATCTTTGGAATTGGTGGGCATATCTAGTGCAAAAGTCAGAAAAGAAGTCTCGCTCAATTCTGGTCTTAAAATCTATGCTTCAGCAATGCGGAAAAAATATTATTACAGATTTTATTGGGGATAAAGTTCTGGGTCCACATCTTCATTTTGCAACATCATATTTGGGTAAAGTTCTTGGACAGTTTAATAGTGTTATTCAAGCTAGAAAGCTAATTATCATGAATGAGACAGGGATGTCTAGTGGAGAATGGCATAAGTTTAATGGACATCTCAAATCCTTTATAACAGAAAAGAAAGTAGCAATACAACGCAAAGGCCTAGAAACTATACGAATAAATGATTATGCTGGATATATGGTTACAAGCAATCAGGATACACCATTTAAGATAGATATAGGAGATTCTCATATAGTCTGTTTTGATGTTTCAGCATATTGTAGAGGTAATACGGTATATTTTAACCAGTTAGGAAGAGTTCTAGACCATCCTGATGCACCAGAAGTAGTTATGATATATCTTCTTAATCGTGATATATCTAACTGGAATCTGGAAGAAATTCCTTCTACAAAAATGAAGATAAAAACAATGCGAGACCAATTATCTAATCCTATTCGATTTATAATTGACTACATTTCTTCATGGTGCGGGGATAAAGTAGCCAATTCAAGTCGTATATTATTATATCAGAAGTATCTTGAATGGTGTGGAGAGAATGGTGAAAAGCCATTTTCTAATAATATTGCTGGGAAGAAATTCTTAGATATTGGTATTGAGGGCAAACAAGTGCGAATAGGTGGTAGAAAAAGGGAATGGCAATATATTTTTGATCGCACTAAAATTATAGCTAAGCTTTATGAATCTGGCCTAGGTGATATCAAAGAATTTTCTGAAGATTCATCTCAATCTAACTTACCTGAAAATGAGACCACAGACATACCCATATTCAATGTGCCAGAAATCATTCCCCAAAGAATAATCCTGACTTTTCCAGAAAAGAATACGTCTCCACCTAGAATCAGTAAAGATAAGAAGGCGGATAAACAGGACGAATTGATTCAGGCTCTTTTCAACTATGTGGCAAAAGACACTCATGCTCCAGTTACCTTAACATCTGGGACATCTGGTACATCCGAAATCTCTAAAACACCTGAGCCAGTAATAGATGAATCTGAAACTAGTAAGCTTTCCAAATCTAACGAGTCTAGCATCGAAGTGGTGAATACGTCTTCTAAAGAAACAAGTGTTAAACGCGAATTATCCAAACCTATAAATCAAGTATCATCTGCCATTCTCCTATCCAGGACTCAGCGAGAAGAATGTCTTAGAAAAAAGGCAGTCGAGCTAGGTGAAGATTCAGATGTATTCGTGGTTATCACAGAAAAAGATAGACTCGATTACATTGGATTCTAGGATAGAATGGAAACTGACTCTCGAATGTGTAGTTATGCAGTAGAATTGGAAGAAGATCCCAATGAATATATGGACATGAAAGTACAGGAAAGATTAATAAGAGAAGAAATTATCTGTCGTAGCCTTGAGGATGACGGAGTCACAACCTCGTGGTTTGATACTGATGAAAAATGGCAAAAAACAATAAGCATACTCCAGGAGAATAGTATGCTTTGATAAAGAGCGAGCAAGAAGCCAGTTTATAGATAAGGTGTTTGGATAAGAGGGTCTATTTGTTCTTTACAACTAAGCGATATAAAATTCTGAATTATTATTTTTTGTTTGAGGAAAATTAGTACTTCAACCCATATCTGATTTTATTTTATTTTTTTAACCTTCATGATAGGCATTCTTATAAATTCCACCATGTGTGCTATAGATTCCAGTATCAGAATAGGTTTTCTCATTACAGATAAGGCATATTGTTTTAGGATGGGTTTTATAATGTATGGCACATCCTGAAGCAAGCCAGCATCCTTTCCCACAAATTAAATCATCTTTTTTGATGTATTGATAGGATAGACGATCCATACAAAATAATTTTGATATTAATAATCTTAAAACTTCATCTTCACTTTTATTATAGATATTCAAAATTGCTTTGCTTTAGCGCTGACTGGGATTAAGGAATTTTTCCAAATTGAACTTTTTTATACGTAATATAAATTAGTACATTTTAATATTCTTGACTATACTGTTATAAAACAATATGGCAAAAGTTGTTACAGATTTCATGAATCACCATAAATGGACTTCCGAAACTCCATCACCCGAACTAGCTAAATACACAGAGGGAATTAACGAAAGTTTAAAGAATGATCACAAGGTAAGATTCAATGCCAAAACGTGTTTTCGACAATTAGGGCTTACTAAAGAACAAGTAGAAGTTCTCATTCCTATTCGACCTTCTGAAAAGCATGAAGAAGGCAGGGTTACTGTTAATAAAATTGCCCAAGAAATTGTGGATAATGATTATTCGTCTGAGAAAATAAAATAAATTTCATATAATTTGAGTAGTTCTGCATCTAATCCAGTTGCTGGGGGTTCACAGCTTACTTTATTACGAAAAAAGTTACGGGATCGTGGAGCTGATCATCTCAAAAAAGAAGCAACCAAAATTCCTCATATTATTACTGAATCAAATGAAATTCAGGCACGACGGCTTGTACTTGACAAATTTGAAGGTATCGATTGATCTGAATACTTCTTCTTAAAACCGGTTCAGGAAAGACTCGAAAAATGTGATTTCTCTTTATCACCTCTAAGGAAGATCTGGTTGATGTAATGATAATGTTAAGCATGTGACTTGCAGATGTGGCAACTCTTCGTATTGATAAATATGAAGTATCAGATGAAATATGGTATAATCCTAAATATTTCTGGTATTGTACTGGCTACTCTAAAACTAAAGTAGAAACAGGAGTAGGGGAACCTCGACCTTTCGTCTCAATGGAAAAGGATTCAATACGAGCAAAAGAGTTTCTTACTTGGATTCAGAAAGCAATACCAGAAAAATTTCCTTTCTTACGAAAAAATAAAAGCGATATAGTTAATGTAAATCCAATTAATCTCACTCTAGCTAAACATGGAATTACTTCGAATAAATTGAGGAAGATAGGAGCAGATCATGCTAGCAGGATCCATGGAGGTAGGAACGATTCTCACTGCCAATATTTACGAAAGTTGGCTTGCAGACAAGTAGTAGGTCGTCATGAATCAGTAGAAAGTTATGGTGTAATGAATGACCCACCTTCTCGCAATTGTTCGAAGGTATCCCTAAAGGACCAGGTAAAGATAAAAGAAAAAGTGAATTAATCCTGATAATGATTTGTATATGTCTGTCTGATCAGGCAAAGGCATTCAAGCTCTTCGATGAAAACTAAACATATATATGGATTAGAGGTCGGGATATCATTTATTAATTTATTTTTTCGCTTAAGGTAAGATATAGCGTATATATATATATCACGAAAATGGTAACCGAACAAAAACATTCATCTGATAATACATCTAGCAAACAAAAAGTTATCAGATACACAAAAAAATTAGCCCAGATATTTGGGCTAGACGAGCAAAATGCAAAAGTGTATAGTGCACTTTTTGGTGAAAATATGATGCTAAAGAAGCAATTGGAAGATTATCATTTCCAACCTAATACTTTAGAAAGGAGGGTAAAAAGGTTGAAGAAAGATGTGAGATCCTTAAAAGATGAATTAAAAGATTTAGACGAATGTGTTGATAGGAAAACTGTGGTCAACTTAATACAAGAAATAGCTTTCTCACTAAAGATCAAAAAATGTAAGGGTTCCT